ATGGAAAGCCAACAATATGTAGCGGCACATACAGTACATCAACTCCCATGCCACATATACGACTGCACAAATTAAACCTTTTCACATAAGTCCCAAAAGAAGAGCAGAGGCCTCACTGATACACAGAAGGAGCCTGAGCCAGGACTAGAGATGACCTGTTACTGACACTATTCTGAATGCAATATGAAGACGTTTTAATTTTACAAATCTTTATGTTAATAATACATTATTCACAATTAATGACATGATCTGACAACTCTTGGTTACATGCAGACTGTCGCTGGCAAAGGATCAAAATAACATGGCACATGACATGAATTAGGCTGCGTGGTGCTGCAGCGATTAGCACTGTCACTCGCATGTTAGCTTAACTGGTGACTGCAAATTGCCCACAGGAGGGATTGAGAGCATGAATAGTTGTTTGTCTCTATATGCCGGCTTGTCACGGACGGCCAACCTGCTTGAAAAAGATAAGCGGTATAGCTAATGAATGAATGGGTGGATGACATAAATTATTTAGAAAGCAGTTCTGGGTGGATCCCTCCCTCCCTTCCTCCTCTAGTACATTAAGAAAAAGAAACCTTAAGCGATTAAGAGTGTTCACGTCTGCATGAAACCAACAGCCAGGGAAATCTGGATAACTGAGCATTTTCTTTTTTAATAATAACTGGCCCATAAAAAAACAGTTTAAACATTTTCCACAACATCATCAGGAGGCATTCATGGGCAGTGTTCTTTATTTTTAGTCACTAGGTGTATCCACTTTTCCAACCCCTGCACATAGAGACATATCTAGTGACAATCCTGAGACAAATCTTAGCTACCTTCCATCGAAGACGGACACAAGTATTGCTCCATGAGCAAGAGACTGGCGTCTGTCTGAGTGTTCTCTATTCACTGAGTGGCAAAGAGCAGCAGCAGCTGCTTCATTCTCTCTTTCTGAGTGAACATTTCCATTTCAATATACATGTACAGAGCAGCAGCTTGTAAAAGGCTTGGAAGTGACAGTTAACATGTTGTGTTAATGGGCCACAATTCAGGTACTAGTTCATACTAGAAAGAACACTTCAATGAGAACAGCTTTATGGAGAATGTGTCTGAATTAAAATATTGTATATGTAAGTTCAAAAAGTAGAAAAGAAAAAAATAGATAAAGGGTTGAAACCAGCTGACACTAGTGTAACTGCAAATATAACTATAAATCACATGATCAATATTTACCTTTTCACTGTAAGTAACTGCTTGCAATGGTTCCATGACAGGTTTCAACTACATCCTCAATATCTCACATTAGCCATACCCAGTCCAGCCATTTACTATTTGTTGTCTAATTGACACAGAACTGACCAATCACATTTTTTAATCCTTCCCTCGTTGGGGCTCAGAACCTTCACTAAACAGCACAAAAGAATGGTGAAAAATGGATAAGACAAATACAAGCGGGGTGCTGAGAAACTGCAGGACAAAAAGACAGATCCTTCAGGCATCTGCTGCTAAATGTGTACAACTTACTGATCCTTCGGTGCAGTGAGTTAACAGTGAGTCAACTTGCAATGTTAGTTGTTTTGGTTCATTTATTCTTTGGCTGCAGTGCTCTTTTAAAATCTGGAAAATGTGTTTGGGAGGCAATGAGTGGATGTAGATGGACAATATATAGAATCAAAACAGAAACATCCACACATTTATTTATTATCAAATGAAATGTGTCAATTACCTGTAATTTACTTAATTGTGACATCAGTGCAGGTTCTTGTGCCTCTTTATCAGGCAATCCAATATTTGTGGACCTGATTAAATCATCATCATTATTAGTTATGATTAATCTGGTCTCGTGGCCTAATAAGGTGAAATGAAGTGCAGAAGCCCTGTAACATGTAGGACTGTAAGAGAATCGTACAAACACTGAGTTGGGATTTAATTTGAGTATTGCCAGTCACAGACACAATAAAGCTGTGATAAAAAACAAAGCTAATGGTATCTTGGCATGATTAATTAAACTGTTGAGATATGAAGTGTTTGACATCTCTTGATTAAAATCAGTTAGAGAAGGAAAACATTTCCATGGTATATTATGGTAGAAAATATGCGTGCCTATGAAGTGTCATTCAAGTAGAAGTGAGCTCCACATGAAAACCTGCAGCGCTGAAATCATTTTTATTAGAGATTCTAATTAATTTTATTACCATTCAGCAGAAGCTCTGCCTCTCCAAAACTGAACAGTGTAAAATTAGAATATTATGTTGCCAAAGCAAATGAAGCTCTATTAAGTAGTTTTGCCTCCTTAAACACACAGTGAGGATTGCCATGGCAATTAGCCTCAGATGTTATGTAAAACATTCAGTGCGCATCTTCTTGCTCTTTATCTTTGAGGTTGCAGGATGTGATCACACACAGCTGGTAAAGACATGCAGGCATCTCAGGCCCAGAGGTAAGGGTACGGATCAGAGGGCTTCTGTGGGCACTGTATGGTGTAATGAATACATTGAGGAGGACGGGAGCATTGATTGCGGGTCCACTATACACGATCTATTTGACAGGAGTGCTGGAAACGGCACAGCGCTCTGAACGGCAGCCGACAAACAAACTGATAGACTGCTGTGGACAGATGGATAACAAAGTGGTCCAATCTGGCAAGTAGACCACATATATACTGCAGGTTGTCTTTTGGCTGACTGAAGGTGCAGTTTAGGTCTTTAAGCAGTGCAGAGCTCAGCCCTGATGAGAATGAATGACCCTGTGTAACGTTATCAATGAGTCATCCATCTACAGCTCTTCATATTTTTTGGGGATAATTTTATTCCATCTCTTACAGCCTATCCACATGTAGCTGTCTCACCTCTTTGACTGGAGTGAGTACCAACCAGCAAAATGTATTCTACCCTGCAGCCCAAGAGGCTGTTCCGGATCCATTTGATATCCTGTAACACCATGTAAAAGTCATTTGAACTGTGCGAAATCTCAAAGGGTATGTCCACCCATATGTACAAAAGGGAGGGCAAATCATTTGAGCTCACCATTGAACATTGGATCTCAGGAGGAGGGTTGAAGACAAAGCTGACGCGAGTTGCTTAGCATATTAATGAGAACCATGCTTAAATACCGTGAGCATACCATTAGTCACACAGATTATAATTCTCCCAACCACATTTATCGGAGCCAACGGAAATCTATATCCCGCTGTCCTTTTAATTGCTCTGGTCGAAGAGACCCCTCCAACTCACTTGTAAGATCAGCGGCACAGCTGCTGCAGAGTTTAAGTGACTTGAGCAAATCCCACTTCAGAGGCAAACAGTCAGGGGAGTGGAGGGTGTTGTAATTTACTTCAAGATGTATGTAGTTTAATAATAACATACCGAGTGTTACTGATAGAAATATGACAACAAATTTTGTTTTTTCTTAGAGCAGCATTAGCACCACAGCTCCACTGAGCATGTGCACAAACAGGAACATTTTACACGGCAGCCACTACATCCTGATGTGGAATGAACAATATCAACGAGCGTGTACTTTATGCTTAGAACAGCCTGTATTTTTTGTTTATTGATTTAATGGGGGCAGTGCTCATTAATCAACATACAAAACACTCTAAATGAGCCACAGTAAGCTTTATAAACTAATTTTCATCCATTGTCCCGAGCCAATTTTTCAGAGGCAACTTGAAATAGAGTGAACTACAACAAACCCATGTTTAAACACTACACTATAAACACAAGTTAATAAACCATGAATAAAATACATTATAAAAATCAAACAAGAAAATGCAACACTAGAATATAAAGCCACAAATACGCCTGAGAACTAAATCACATAAGATAAAGAAGAAGAATTACACATGATCACAAGTTTGTTTTGCTTTCAGCCATGTCATGATGCACACTGAAGTGGAAGTTCTGGCTAAAATGACTATTCTCCACTCATAATGAATGCATGTGAGGCACAAGTCCTCTATATTAAACATCCAAAACGACACTTTAGAATGACACATAAATAATCTGACGCCCCGTCAACTGATCTATCTTTTTCTCCCAAGTCCACTACACTGCTGGAAAGGGATTCATGGAGTGACAGAGCTGTGGTTAAGCTTTGAATAGGTTTAAGGAAACGTGGATGGAGTCAAAACGACTACAAAGTTAGGGGACCTTCATCGTCACAGTTACAATAATAAACACTCAAGTTAACTTAATGGAACATCATTGTCCTGCCTTAACAGAAAAGCAACATTGACTCATGGCTGGAACGTTGTGTGGAAATGTCTTTAAATCAGACAAAAACTGAATAAGTGGAGTTTCCGTTTCATCTTGTTTGGACCGATCGAAGCATCGACGATCGAAGTGCTGACTTTTAGCTGTTGAGATATTTATTGGTGTTTATATCTGTACATATCTATACAGCAGCATGTGCCTGTGACATTGACTTGAACAATTTACTGATCTGTTCCACTATCGCTCTAATAAATGTAATGCAAAAGCTGCATACAGCTAAAAAAAAAACACATCTGTGGTTTTATTGAGTCCACTGAGCTAAGTATAGGGAGACTTAACCTCTGGGAAACCTTATGTCTTTTGCTGTTTTTATGTAATCTTCTTTTAGCTGATTTTAAGATATTTGGGGGCATTTAGCCTTTACTGGTGTAAGCTTGAAATAGAGTGATGAAGAACATGCAGGAAAAGAGCAGCTCAGAACCAAACTTGTGACCTTGTTGCAGCTGCAGGGCTCAGGGCTCTGTATGTGGGGCATCCTTTCTTCCAGCTATTGGTTGTTTTTATAACAGTGATCACCTCCTCACATGCAAAGGTTCCGTCAAAACTGACACAGCACTGGAGATTGGCTGTATAAGACTAGACCCAATGGAAACTTTATATGAAGATACGTTGCCTGAAATGATTAAGCTGGAGTTGCTTTCCCAGTGTAATTATGTAAAATTCCATATTTATGCAGAATACATGGCTTAAAGCAATGATATCTACATGTAGAATGCTTATTAAATGTATCATTCTCCAACTGCTATAATAAGCACTTGATAATGGCTGTAGAAACATTTTGATATGTAATTAGATTTTACAAGCAAATTTGATTTTATAGGCAAAAGCTTTTTGAAAATGTCTTTAGAAACACAGTTGGTCTAATTAAACTATTCACAAAGGGTGAATCTCTTCTGTCCAATTCAGTTGTGTGTGCATCCACTTACCCCAGCACGTGTGTGTGTGCAGCTTGTCAGTATCATCTTAACTATAGTGTACTATAGTGACTACAGAGATGGGAATTGGGCCACAAGACCTGGTGTAAAACCATAGATCAAGCCCCTACAGCTCAGAGGGTGGTTGCAGAGATGGAGTGTATGAGCACTTTTCTGTCTGATGTATCTGGAAGCAAAAGAAATAAAACAGAGTGAAGAGTTAGAGCAAAGAGCCTGAAGAAATTACTGATGGAGGAGTTGGGGATAGAAGAGAGAGAATGATCAACGAGGGAAAAGATCAGTGTTGAATTAAGATCAGAAGATTACCTTGTGATTACCGAGACATAAAGGATTACTATTAACAGAGCCCTGACAAGGCAGAGCAATTGGCTGGGCAATCAAAGGATCCACAGATTTGATGTAAAAGCTTAAGTAACCACTGATCGGTGCGATAAAAGAAGGGCGGGCGCTGGCAAATGGGTAATGAACTCTTTTTACTCGATGTTACATCAAGCGCTTCCAAATCCTTTTACATCGCTAAAAAAAAATAGGTTCAGACTTCGTCCATGTGTGGTTACACATTTTTGTCCCCCCTTATATCCATACTGACAAACAAACAGAGGTGAGATTTTCTATTTCCCTTCCCATCTTCAGCCCGTGCTCTCTGAGATGACAAGATGCCAGTCATGTTTTATTCAGTTTCATTCATGTCCTTGAGCAGAGCAGGGGCATGAGCAGACAGAAACACAAGCGAGACAGCTTCATTTTGGCGAGAGGGAAAAAGGGAGAAAAGAAGGACGAGATGAAATGTAGATAGTTTCGGTTGGTATGCAGTGCTCATTCTTTTAGTCTTTGAGCAATGATGCACTGGCATTGTTTAAAGAAGGCATTCATGCAGACCTCGGAGTGATGAATTGCGTTGTCAGCGGCGATGAAATGAGAACTGAAACTTCTCTGAAAAACAATATAGCACAGAGGAAATAAGTGTATTGAAATGTCATGATGCTGATTGTATACAGTACATCTAAACACAAAGGATCATAAAAAACAATAGGGCAAACATAGAAAAATGACTGGCCTTTACCAGAGAGTACGTCTGTAAGAGCATGGGGAACGCTGTTAATGTTTTGGCTTCTGCATCTTCTCTTCAGTATGTGTGTTCGTGTGTGTACATCATGGAGAATGAGAGAACTGCAAGCTTTCATAACCAAGCGGCTGTCAAATTATCCCTTCATTGCAATTACACTGCCATGCATTTCACCGCTTGTCTGTTAAGCTACAGCCCGCTGTCTCCTGTCAAACCTTTGCCCACCTCACCTCACCCGCCCGCCTGTTGTGCGTGACGGCGCCAACAGCTACAGTCCAACGAGTCAGGTGTGCGTGCGTGTGTGTATGTTAACAACACGGCCCTGCTAATGGAATGAGCTTTGTCGGGGAAAGATAGCGGCAGAGAGAAAATGGTGGGAGGAGTGACAGAGGAGGAAACAAAGCAGCAGGAAGGAGGCCAGGTTTGTCAGCACAACAAAGCTCGTGCACAGTGTTGATAGATGTTGGAACAGAAGAAGAGTAATAGTATCTTTACAGCTGTCACAACCAGAGCTTTGTTAAAGCTTTCATAAAAAAAATCCGCTCTGCAAAAAACAGTAAGAGAATTTCAACACAACACACAAGTAAGCTTTTACCATTCATTTAACACACTTCATAGGGAAAATGTATTATCTATGTGTCCAGTCATGCTGTCATTTTCGCTGAGCTCATGTTCTGATTCACGTCACCAACCTGCTGGGAGCTGAAGGAAGATGTCCATTCTGTGTAGAGACCTCTCCTTGGATAGGGGGAAACTGACAACACCTTTTTGGCCATCGTCGAATAATCCTGAGGAAGTCATTGAAGGAAGAAAGGAAGCTGTGAAGAAAAAAATCAAAATGTCAGTGATCAAACAAGCTGAAAGCTAAATAAATGATAGGAGCCGAGCAACACAAACCCACAATAACTCATTACACCGTGTTATGAGACATTCTTTAAGGCCTCCTGCAGAGCAGCAAACCACAGGAAAATGTCAGAGTGTAACCACACTCTGCAACACAGACTGGTTACAGGAGATGGGAAAAGAGAAGTGGAATAAAATACTTTGGATTTGCTTGACATTTCAACAGTCTTGACACTAAATATGTATTTACCTCTTACTAACAAGTGTCAGTGTTCATACAGCTATTTATTTAGCATGAATGTGAGCAATTTTTTTTGGTAATGTAATTCAAAGTGATTACTGCATTAATGAAGTGTAAAATAAAATGTGTTGACAGAGCGCATTTCCCAGCATTCACCACATCTGAGTTTTAATAAAAGCCCTACAGAGAAGAGTGCTGGGCTGCGTACGTCTTAACATATCAACAATGACAATGCTCACAGGTTGACATATAGTAGGTACAATTTTTGCCATGCTCATCATCTTAGTCTAGCATGTTAACATGCTGACACTAATTATCTCTAAAAACAAAGCACAGCTAAGGCTGCTGGGAATTTAATTGATTGTGCATGTACTTGGTCATAAACCAACCAGGAATCATCATCATTACACTTGAAACCAAAGAAGTCAACCACAGGGGGGTGGTAGAGTAAAAGTCACAAGATCAACAGAGTCATTAGGATACATCATCTGGGGACCATGAATTTCTGAAATTAATTCCATGCCAATACACCTATTACGTCCCACAGACGTCTGGAGGATGAGGGACCAACAATTAAGAATAAACCAGGGAGAAACAAGTGACCAGCCAGATGCGTTAAAGGAAAAACAAGTATTTTTATTAATGAACGTAAGATCTACCACTTGACAAGAAACACCAACAACTACTACACACTATCACATGGTCCACTCTCAGCTTGTTCCACTCTGCCACTTGGCCCACTGGCCACATCTGAAGCTCTGCTCAGGGTTTTTATATCCATCTCTCTGATTGCGGATTGGCTTCAACTGTGTCTGTGGAGGTGCTGCAAGAGCACACACCTGGAGGAGATCAAACATGCTGATAAGTAATTCATACCCTCTGAAATCTTACATTTCCACATAGGTACAAGGACAGTGGGCCTCATCACAGCAAAATCTGTCAAAGAACTGAATGTACAACTACCACACTGCTAAAAGAACAGATGGAACAATAAAGATAATAAAACTCATGTTTACTTTTAATCAATGCTAAATTAAAGATAAATTCATTTTTACTCTGTGAAGAATAACAAAATAAATCTCATTACATTGACTCAGAATCAATTGTTATCCATGCTGAGCTACACCATAACAGTCCGCATGTTGCTAATCTGTCTGGAAAATGTCCCGCTACGATCACAATCCAACCGACTTATTTTTACGTCATTTTTTAAACTTCTAAATCATTATTTTTTTCCACTTGATTTCAGACAAATCCCTGAACATTCTCGAACCACCAAATAAACCCAGAATGCATTGGTTTCCCCCCTCGATGGCACATCTAACAGAATTAACACTTTGGAAAGTAATCATCCCACCCTCAAGTGCAATCGATGCACATCTCATGCAATACAAGCATGTCGATTTGGCATTTCCAGACTGGTGCGTCTGTAAGTGCCTGTGCATCTGTGTGGATCAGTGGAGCTGCAGTGCATGAATAGCTTTGCATATATTTACTGTGATGAAACAGTAATACAGTGTCGCTGGGCCCAGTCTCCACTCCTACTTTCAATATTCAAAAAAAGACAGAAAGACCTTTGGGATTTCCAACATACAACAAAACCTTCCTCAAGATACAATTTAAGTGGATCTTATCAGGGTGTTTGTTGAGTGCAAACTGCTGCAGAGTAGCATCTTAATCTTGTTTGAAAGTTGGGAACCAATCATTCTTTCTCAGCGGTGTGATGTTTTACTCTTGGCTGCCTTTACAGCTTTCTCACTAGTTTCCTCTCGCTGCACAGATCTACGGCACAGTGTGCACACAAAGGAAACAACACTATCTGGGTGATATATAGCATATATGATGCAATGTGCCTGAAACAAGCAGACTGAGCAACCTAATGGTGCAACAATGTGTATGAATATGGACCTGAAAGGTTTGCACTCAGTGTTTTTTATATTTACTGCAGTTACATGATTATTCTTTGAGATATAGCTTTGTTGGATTGTATAACTATTCCATCTTATCATCATTAAATGTGTTTTGCAGAATACTTGGTGAGACAATGATATATGCTGACTTAAGCAGGTATTCTCAGCATGATGCATTTTGTTTATGGGGCTGTATAAATTTCAGTCGATATAGACAATAAAGATGTAAATACATTTGGACCACAGAAAAACCCAGGACAGTGACAATCCAGCTATACTGTGATCGAGGTTAACGCGAGAACATGTCAGGAAAAGATGGATATTAAATCCTCCAGACTCGTGCACTCATAACATTAGTACTACTCTGCAGGCAATACCATTTTCAGTTTTTGTCAGTGTGAGTTACACTCTTGACAGCTGCTTTATGAACCACTGTGAAGAATGTGAAATTGCCTTCATCGACTTGATAGTTATAACCTTTTATTGGTGAGAGAATCACAGAGAATATTGTAATAGGTTCTGTGGCAGAAGGTAAAATGGTTTAAGAGTAGGTGTAGTGCTGCACTGGAACAATACGATTTTTTTCAGCCAGGAGAGGAAATAAAGTTAAGTTGAAATTCATATTCACATTTTAACTTTAATAAAAGAATCATCAGTCACGATTCTGTCATGCTATAGATAAATTAAAAACCCATTCATTTGTGAGGTTTGTCATATTGTGATTTAAGGTGTGCTGTATTGACGGCTTCACAGTGTACACTCACATCCCATGACCTTGGTTTTCTACCTAACTAATGATAAATTGTTGTTAGTATCAGTTACGATTTGCCATGATTTCATAAAGAAAGATTACAAAGCCAACTTAACAGACTTGGACAGTTTCTGCTGCAGTCACAATACCTGATGGAAATGACAGCTACGTTTTTATAGTCTCGTCCATTACATAAGCTTGACCCCTGCCTGCACTGCAGCTTTTCCTCAGAATGGATGTTTCCACTGTGACTTCATTTACAGCACTAGTGACAGTTTACCAGACATCTGAAGCCCAAACCTCATCTCTGCTTGAGGCTACTGGCCCAAGGCTACATGAGCTGCTAATAGCAGAACATGGTCAATGTAATTATTCACTGTTAAAATACAAGAACATATATATATATATATATATATATAAAAGGCTTCTCATTATGGAAGTGCTTCTCACGCCTAGGAAAGTAAATACATTAAACATTATTATAACAATTAATTATCTGGCTGTGAGTAAATAATTTGTGGGGTGTAATATATGTATTCATCAGGTTAAAGCCCCTGTGCTGCCTGGTCTACACAGGAGCAGTCTGGAGAGCACAATGTTCCAGTGAGGCCATCCAATGCACACAGAGGTAATGAACCTAAAAACTGATCCAATTCTGCTAATGGCTTTGACTGACCCTGGGCCTAATGTGTTGTTGCTTGTTTAATGACATATTCCAAACCTCGCATTGGGATTTGATTTTCAGATCAGGTCCTGAGTGAATCATTAGGGATGATAGGGACACACTGAAGAGGAAGACGCAGTAAAAGCTAAAAGGCCTGAGGCAGACGGCTATCACTCTTCCACCGCGAGCTCATGCATACTAAACATCTATGCAGCTCCAGTGGAGGCATCTGAAGCATATGGTTCTGACAGCATGGCCCTGTTAATGCAGGGCTGCAGTGTTACTGCTGGGCGAGCTGATCCCAATCAAAACGCTTCTGACTTTGAGGAGAGGACGCTGGGGGTGATGATGACACTGGAAAGAACAGTACCATTACAATGCAGAAAGGTTATGCATGAGAGATGTGCCTGGATGTTCATGCTGATGGTGTTTTGAATTTTCAAACAAAACCATTTTAAAACAGAAACTTATTCTGTATTCTGTTAAGAGTTGTTTTTCAGGCATCTTTTCAGGTCTAATTAGAAAAGTAAGATTCATCGTCTGTTTGTGTACATCCACTAATTCTAATAATAAAATGGAGTTTGGTTTGTTTAACCATCCTGTGGAAACATACAGCTCCCTGAGATCAAAATGCAGCTGAGGAAGATTATTGATTTGTTGTTGCTTCAGGGAATACCTCATGAATTATAGATATGGCCTCATGCCTTGTGGTCATTTGCATCTTGGTTGTTGTTTAATGAGACATTCGGTCTTTTATCCTGGTGGATGGATGATGTGTCAATCTTTCTTTCATCATCTGTGATCCTTTGGTTAAATTTCATTAATTTCATAGTCTCTGTAATTGACACAGAACACGTTGGGGCTCCAATAAGACAGATGTAATTTACCTGCAAGAAAAAGAGTAAAAGGGTGAGTGAGAAATAACTCAAAGCAAAGAAGATGAAAATAAATCACCACTGCATCGCCCCAGGCTAAGACCACAAGCATGCCTCGCTTAAATGTGCAAAGATGAATAGTTTGCCTTTCCTCGCATGGCTCCCACCTTGGGGAACTATTTGCAAAAGAATCTCTCACCACTTTCCCAGGTTATCTCCTGGAGCATCAACACAGTGCCTCTCCCCCTAATTTATTCACATTTCAGGCACCATCCACACCATCTCCGAGGGGAGATGATAGGGCCTGTGTACCCACCTGCCTGCTGCCTCCCCAGAAACACATTAAAGAGCTCAGAGTTTAAATCTTCTTCCAGGAGATCACTCAGAGCTCCCCGTTGATGCCTGTGTAGCCTCACAGAGCCGCCAGGCTTTCCCCACAATGCAGCAGTGAGCTGATGAACAGCTGAGAGAAAATGAGAGAGTGAGACAGAAGAAAGGGAAACAAACATGCTGCTGTCACTGTAGGTAATTCTT